TGGTGGTCCACCCTCCACCCTGTCCTCTGGCCTGGCTGTCCCCCAGGGATGTGTTCTTTATCTCGGATACGTAACAACTCCAGGCCCAGGCCCCAGACAGGCCATGTGCTGCTGCCGCTCTACAACAGGGAGGTCTTCATTCACGGCCTTTCTTCAGAGCCTGTGTATGGTTGTTTCCATTCTGGCTTTTTAATCAATAGTAAATTAATCAGATTTGTCATCAATAACTTGAATGAATCAATGAAGTGCAGAGTGCAGACAGAGAGCAGTCGATGCAGAGTGCAGACGAAGTCACACAGGCCCTGAGGACAGAGAAAAATAGAGTACCACTGCTGCACAAACCCAACTATGTGAGCAGATATTACAATGACCAGACAAACCTACAGATAACTGCCAAAATAAAGGAAACACCAACATAGTATCTTAACAGGGTGTTGGGCCACCACGAGCCGCCAGAACAGCTTCTACGATTCTTCCACGAGAAATTCCACAATTTGGTGTTTTGTTGATGGTGGTGTCTGAGGCGCCACTCCAGAATCTCCCGTAAGTGTTCAGTTGGGTTGAGATCTGGTGACTGACACACTAACACACACACACACACACTCTTTAAACCCCCTATGCTCCTGTGAGACCCCTCTTTCAAAGTCACTAAGATTTATTTTTTATGCATGACTCTAAGCATGATGGGATGTTAATTGCTTAATTAACTCAGAAACCACACCTGTGTGGAAGCATCCCACATTTACTGCGTTTAGTGTTTCCTTTATTTTGGCAGGTACCTGTATATGTAGGCATACAGTGTACTGTAGGTGGAGAATAATTTTGAGGCTGCAGAAGCTATAGGAGATACATGTTGTACACACACACAGAGACACACACACACAGAGATACACACACAGAGACACACAGATACACACACAGACACCAGAGGAGGATGGTGGGAGAAGCGATAGGAGGACGCGCTCATTGTAATGGCTGGAATGGAGTAAATGGAATGGAGTCAAACACGTTGTTTCCATGTGTTTGATACCATTCCATTGATTCCATTCCAGCTATTACAAGGAGCCTGTCCTCCTATAGCTCCTCCCACCAGCCTCCTCTGACACCCCCCAGACACTCTTATCCAGAGCGCCTTACAGTTAGTGAGTGCATACATTTTTTGTTTTTATCATACTGGCCCCCCCCGGGAATCGAACCCACAACCCTGCCGTTGCAAGCACCATGCTCTACCAACTGAGCTACACAAAGATGTGTATATGGTGTCATTCACCACCAGAGATCAAAGCCAAATCAAAGATGAATCACAAACGGCAGCCAGCGCCCATCCGATGAATCTCCTGCACTACTTTTTAAAAGCTTTATGAAAAGATCACCTATTGGGAGTGAGCAGAACTTTCTAATAACGACCTAATACTTCACACAGGGGTTTCTACCTGATCCAGACAAATTGATACTGACACACCATCAAAACAAAGCAAAACATGCTCAAAGATCCTAAATCCTTCTATTAAGATGGATAACAGACTATAATCTCTCTGGGGGGAATGCAGAATATCTTTCTTTGAAGTCAGATAAAAAACGTTCAGAGATCAAACCGACGTGTATCTCTTAATCTTCCTTAAAAACCAGAGGAGCTTTCATTCAAACAAACAGGGGTAGAGGGTCTCTCTCTCTCTCACACACACACACACACACACACACACACACACACACACACACACACACACACACACACACACACACACACACACACCAACATGCACACACACTCACACACACACACACACACACACACAAACACACATACACACACAGTATCAGAGTCCCTACCGGGGCTAAGAGGAGGAGTTAAAATAGAGCATGTTCCCAGAGAGTGTGAGTTTTATGGAGTTCTCAGGCTACTGAAGTGGTGTGTGTGTGTGTGTGTGTGTGTGTTTGTGTGTGTGAGAGAGAGAGAAAGAGGGAACAGTGTTTTCTTGGCTGAGGCCAGCAGGATGGTTGGCACTGATTCAGTCATGAGGGTACATGAGGGTAAAGGGAGTTATGGTGCGTGTGTGCGCGTGTGTGTGTCAGGGTTGGTTATGTTTCCACTCGCCGCTGCAGAAATATGTATTAAATGTTTAAGTACAGTATTTCTATTGGTTAGTTCAGTCAGGTGTCAATAAGGTGTTATGTCATTGGCTACGCGTGCAGATATGGGGAGATCCACAGATACCCTAATGAAATCATTCCCTGGTCTACTGCTGGAGAAACCAACGTCTTGACGGTTAGACCAAGATGAAATTTGCTTGGGCCGACACTGATTTTGAAGTCGCAGGGTTACCTCATCACGTGACCATGAGCAACCATTTCATGTCCGCTACCTGTGTGTGTGTGTGTCAGAATCAGGTTTCCGTTTAATTAGCATAGCAGTCATAACACATTACTGTCAGTGCCCAGGGTAAGACATGGTCATCTATAATAATTTAATAACACTGTTATAACGAAGCATTATGGAAAGGCACATCATGGCAACTGGCATAATACTGAATAGCGATGAACAATAGGCCTATGCTGGAGACAGCGAGCAAGTGTCTACTCAATCAATAATCTTAATCAGGAGAAGTCAATCATTCATTGATGAGGAAACATGGCCACTGTGTAGCCGAGTGAAGGCTATTACATAATTAACCTTAACACTGTAGCTTACATCTGCATATTGTCACACTGATAATGCAATGACCTCAATCTTTGCTGCGGTTGGTTGATTTATGTCTATCGGCGTAATGGGCGCGTGATCTATCCATCATTTATTACCAATAGACGTTTTATTTGACATTAACGAGAACAGAACTGTCTGAAACGTTTACCTAGATAATTTGGGTAAAACAGCGGAATAAAACACAACCGTTAAGTGATCGCTCCCGCGGTTTTTGAGGTGACCTAAATAACGTGATTTGCTTTTACGCACTCCTCTGTCTGAGTGCTATTTCTGCACAAAGCCACGTCTATCCACCGTGTAGGAGTGGACGCAATAATCATACGATGCTGCTACTGATGATGCGAGCGCACTTCTAATGGAATGAATGAGTTTGCTTCAGAACGGCAGCGTCCTCCATTGCATAATTTCACAAATCTCACCAGCATAAAATCAATGACCGGACAACACAAGACATCCCACAACAGGACGCGTTTAAAAAACTGCCTGAACACAGCGGAGCCGTAGATAGGGTAAGTGATGCCGATAGCCTACTTACTGCATACATGGCCTCAGAAAGACTAATATTTATTTAATTTTAGTCGGTCTGATGATAATATTCACACATTGTCATGTCACATGATGTGTACCCCTTGTCATCTGTAAACAGCGCACCTCGAGATCTGAAACCGTTCCAAATTATAGAATGATTAGTATAAAAAACGAAGGTTTTTGCCTACAAGAATTGCACGTTCCTAAAGGCAATGACAAGTGCTTACTTCACATATAGGTCTGATTCATCGTTGTAACTGCTGACGGCATACATCTGTAGGCTACTGGTTCATTGCCCGTAACAATAGAATTGTAGCCTAGAGTTCAGTTGTAGGCTAGCCTATCCAAGGTCCTCCCATGTCCTTAGGAGACATGTCAATTCCAAGTCTCAACAATATGGACACATCGTATTTACAGTTTGTAAATATTTACTGAAGCCTTTGCCTAAAAAATGTAACCCTCTTCAAAATATGAATCTGTTTTTGTAAAACCGCACCCTTATGTTATGTAGCCTGCTACAGTATGCCTACCATTCCTACACATTTACCTTATCCCACCACATGGTTGTTGGTGGAACCTAGCTGCAGGGAAGTTTGCATCGCCAGACTTGGCCAAGTTTTGATTTGCCTCGCCAGACTTGGTCAAGTTTTGATTTGCCTAGCCAGACTTGGTCAAGTTTTGAAATCCGATAGGGGGGAGCAGTTTGGCCAGCTGATGCGCGAAAGGCTAAAAATAATCACCTCCAATATACGCTGTGTGGTTACTGTCTCCAAAAAACCAAGCAACGTGAATGAAACCGCGTCAATAACGACACTTCTCTGAGGTAAGCTACATTGATCTATTATTATTCTGTTATGGCCGTGTATGCTATGTTGTGCCATGTGTTCAGCTACAGGGTCATAGAACTCATAGGAGAGGTCTGAAAACGACGCTTCTTGTAAGTGGTGTTGAGTTCTTTTCAGAATAACTGTCGGAAAACCACTTTCCAGCTTCAATTGGACAACTACTTGTATAATATGCAGTTTGTATAATATAGCCCTATATAAATATTAGGCCTATGCACTTTAACATCGTTTGGCAACATTTGTTTGTTTAATTATTTCATGTGATTGGCTACATTATTTTGACTGTTATTCAGAGACGGCTGAAATAAGATGAGCAGTTGTTGGATGCCAGTAATGCTTCTCTAGAATAAACCTCAACGTTCTCTATCCTCAGACTAGATCATTCCTTATCAAGGTGTACCGTTGTTTCATGTCTTGAAAAACAGAATAAAGCAGAGGTATATTTGTGTAGTAAGAAATTCCAGTTTGACTTGTGGTGCCAGTGTTGAGCCTTGCAGAATTGGTGTAGGCAGGTGAATAACAGTGCAGTGTTGTTACTGTCAGTGTTGTCAACCATGTCAACAGAGGTTAGTGAGGTCTCTGGAGTCAAGGACAGGCATTAACACAAATTGCATTACAAAAAGTAAAGTCTTGGGAAATAGTATAATGATTATTGATCCATGTAAAAGCTCTAAGCAGGTGTCTCTATATTGAAAGCACGTATCCGTTGGCTAATGTTATTTGAATCATAAAAGCACTTTAGTCTTACTAATGTATCCCGTGTTTTATAAAGAGCATTAAGGCTAGACCTCTTTCATTGTTTACCTCTCCATTGTCCAGCCACTAGACTAGCTGGTGCTCTTGACTTGACTGACAGTTTTGCTGACCATTCATGACGCTCTGTTGTGCCTTGGACCCTCCCCCCCAGGCTTCTCTGGACCTATAAGGTGGCATGGCTGGCCTGTCGTTCTGTGGCAACAATGTGACCAAGAATGCCTACAGTGTGGATACGGGGATGTTGAACAATGGCTGCTTCGTGGACGCCCTCAACCTGGTCCCTCACGTCTTCCTGCTCTTCATCACCTTCCCCATCCTCTTCATCGGTACGTGGACCATGCATAGTCCTTTACCTTCATGATGTGTATGTGCGTGTGTGTGCGTGCATGCACGTGTGACCAGCTTTAATCTTGTCACCTTTACACCTAGAGATCACACAGAACACTGATCTCTAAAGGTTGAATAGAAACAGGGACAGAATGGATCAGAAGGGGACAGAATAGGTTCAGAAGGGGACAGAATGGATCAGAAGGAGACAGAATAGGCTCAGAAGGGGACAGAATGTATCAGAATGGGACAGAATATAATCAGAAGAGGACAGAATAGACTCAGAAGGAGACATAATAGCTTCAGAAGAAGACAGAATAGGATCAGAAGGGGACAGAATAGCTTCAGAAGAGGACAGAATAGGTTCAGAAGGGGACAGAATAGGGACAGAATGTGACAGAATAGCTTCAGAAGAAGACAGAATAGGTTCAGAAGGGGACAGAATAGCTTCAGAAGAGGACAGAATAGGTTCAGAAGGGGACAGAATAGACTCAGAAGGGGACAGAACAGGCTCAGAAGGGCACAGAATAGGTTCAGATGGGGACACAATGGGATCAGAAGGGGACAGAATTGCTTTAGCTCTGATGGTCTGTGTTTGTGTTTGTGTGGGTGATTATGTGGGTGTGTGCGTGACAATCCCAAAGCAACATGATTCAAGGATGCCTTTGGTAACAGTCCTTTCATCCCCCACACATGCTTCGCCAACAGAAAACAGTATTAAAATGCTGCACTATATTACACATGCTTCACCAACAGGAAACAGTATTAAAATACTGCACTATATTACACATGCTTCACCAACAGGAAACAGTATTAAAATACTGCACTATATTACACATGCTTCACCAACAGGAAACAGTATTAAAATACTGCACTATATTACACATGCTTCGCCAACAGAAAACAGTATTCAAATGCTGCACTATATTACACATGCTTCACCAACAGGAAACAGTATTAAAATACTGCACTATATTACACATGCTTCGCCAACAGAAAACAGTATTCAAATGCTGCACTATATTACACATGCTTCACCAACAGGAAACAGTATTAAAATACTGCACTATATTACACATGCTTCACCAACAGAAAACAGTATTCAAATGCTGCACTATATTACACATGCTTCACCAACAGGAAACAGTATTAAAATACTGCACTATATTACACATGCTTCACCAACAGAAAACAGTATTCAAATGCTGCACTATATTACACATGCTTCACCAACAGGAAACAGTATTAAAATGCTGCACTATATTACACATGCTTCACCAACAGGAAACAGTATTCAAATGCTGCACTATATTACACATGCTTCACCAACAGGAAACAGTATTCAAATGCTGCACTATATTCAAGCTACTTGACATTTTTTCTAATCGTTCAGTCTCACCGTTCAGATAAACCCTTGAAGCAAGCAAAATGAGTATTGTCCACAGACTGGGTTTAATCAATTCCACTGTCTCAGACTCCCAGTCCTGTGTAAAAGATAGGAAACTCTGTGTAAAGCCCTATGATTGATCTTGTGCCTGACAGTCAGCACTGGTCTGTATGTGTTCTTCATTGATCTGCTGGCTGTCAGTCTCATTCTCACCGGTCAACATAAAGTAGCTTTCCCCAGACCACAGAACAGCTGGTTAGACTCCTGGCCCTGGCCCAGCCTTTATCCAACTGAGGAGGACTGTGGGACTGTGGGATTGTGGTCTCTGAGTTGTTGTGGGGACTGTGAGAACACATATAAAAACACATTTTCTTGAAGAACAGGTTAGATGCAAAGTTTGGTAACAGAATGACGGCACCAACAGCACAAACTGTTATTCTGTTACCAAACTTTGCATCTGCACTGTTCTGCAAGTAAATGTGTTTTTGTAAAATGTTCAGTGGAAGTTGTCAAAAGTAGTCCTTGTGCATAGAGTTTGTTCAACTTGGCAATCATTGTTTTTTGTTTGACATACATTTAAAAGTGGGAAATTTGAGTCTCAGCATCACTCTCTTATCGTGGAATTTCCTAAATCACATCACTTTGGCTAGCTAACAGCTAACAGCTAACTTTATGTGGATAAATTAGCTTGGTAACTATCGCTGAATATTGATTGATTTTCTTGCCAGATGTAATAATATGCCATTTAGCAGACGCTTTTATCCAAAGCGACTTACAGTCATGTGTGCATACATTTTTACGTATGGGTTGTCGCGGGGATCGAACCCACTACCCTGGCATTACAAGCGCCATGCTCTACCAGTTGAGCTACAGAGGACCACAGATGTAGTGATGAGCATTAGACAGACAACTTCACCAGGATGATTTTAGACTCAAAATATAGGCTACTTGCCGATTTCAAGCTCTTTCCAAAAGCCTTCTCTGATGAAGCAAGCTAAATTACACACGTTGTTTGCTTAGCTAGCTAGCTACATACCGATTGCCGAATCGATATGCTACCCTCACGTACTGTAGCCTATCTGAAATGACATTAGCTATGTTTACTAATGGTGAAAAGCATGGAGTTACTGGCTGTATAACTATAAAATGGAGCTAAATGTGCACATTTTCTTTGCATGGAATAATCAAAAAAGAATAGGTGATCCTATTGCAACCAAATTTAGTTGGTAACATAGTTTTAGCGGAGCTGGGGTCCTCCCTGCCCCCCAGCAGACAAATCCAACGTTCTGCACCTTACCGCGACGTTTATTGATAACAATCTATTGTTGTGTTGTTCTAAAAGGCCTACTCTGGGGAAACTGACTGAGTGTGGTTGTTGCTCATCTGCTTAATGGGAATGGCTCTGACTATCAGCCCAGTCCCTGAGGAAAATATTAATTGATGCTTCCTGGTCAAATCTTTGTGTGTGTGTGTGTGTGTGTGTGTGTGTGTGTGTGTGTGTGTTTTTTTTTCTGTGTGTGTGTGTGTGGTGATCAAGTCTTTTATGGATGCTTCCCAGGGGAGATGTCTAAGGGCATCACGCCTTCCATGAGTTGTTACTGTATCAAATCAACTCCCATACAATGACGCACTGTATGTTTGCGGAAACACTGAAACACTCTGCAAGGATGGACAGCATTAAGCAAAACTATAAGCTGTAGTTGATTTCTATTTCTGTGTTACTGTATGTTCTGAATGTTTACTTTGACCATTAGTCTTAAAGATTTACAAACAGTTCAAGTTGATAGACTTAAAGGTTTACAAACAGTTCAAGTTAACCATTAGACTTAAAGGTTTACAAACAGTTGACCATTGAAGGCACTTGCCTGCATTATCCAAGAGTCACCAAGAATATCCATGGCTTTCATTGTTTGGCAGGAAAACCTTAATAATGCAGAGTGCTTTAAAATCAACTGCTGTGTTTATCTGTTTACTTGATCTGTTACCTATGACAGATTACATGACAACTAAAGTTATCAGTAATGTAATCCTTTTGATTACTCAAAATGAGTAACGTCATTACTTGGATTACTTATGGATTACTTATGGATTACTTATGGATTACTTTTGGATTACTTTTGTGAACCGTTACTACCCAACCCTGTGTGTTTGCATGTCCGTGCATGCGTTCTGATGCGTGTGTGTTTATGTTCATGCTTGCGTATGTGTTCTCCCCCCAGGCTGGGGCAGTCAGAGCTCTAAGGTTCAGATCCACCATAACACCTGGCTCCACTTCCCTCCCCCTAGGCTGGGGCAGTCAGAGCTCTAAGGTTCAGATCCACCATAACACCTGGCTCCACTTCCCTCCCCCTAGGCTGGAGCAGTCAGAGCTCTAAGGTTCAGATCCACCATAACACCTGGCTCCACTTCCCTCCCCCTAGGCTGGGGCAGTCAGAGCTCTAAGGTTCAGATCCACCATAACACCTGGCTCCACTTCCCTCCCCCTAGGCTGGGGCAGTCAGAGCTCTAAGGTTCAGATCCACCATAACACCTGGTTCCACTTCCCTCCCCCTAGGCTGGGGCAGTCAGAGCTCTAAGGTTCAGATCCACCATAACACCTGGCTCCACTTCCCTCCCCCTAGGCTGGGGCAGTCAGAGCTCTAAGGTTCAGATCCACCATAACACCTGGCTCCACTTCCCTCCCCCTAGGCTGGGGCAGTCAGAGCTCTAAGGTTCAGATCCACCATAACACCTGGCTCCACTTCCCTCCCCCTAGGCTGGGGCAGTCAGAGCTCTAAGGTTCAGATCCACCATAACACCTGGCTCCACTTCCCTCCCCCTAGGCTGGGGCAGTCAGAGCTTTAAGGTTCAGATCCACCATAACACCTGGCTCCACTTCCCTCCCCCTAGGCTGGGGCAGTCAGAGCTCTAAGGTTCAGATCCACCATAACACCTGGCTCCACTTCCCTCCCCCTAGGCTGGGGCAGTCAGAGCTCTAAGGTTCAGATCCACCATAACACCTGGCTCCACTTCCCTCCCCCTAGGCTGGGGCAGTCAGAGCTCTAAGGTTCAGATCCACCATAACACCTGGCTCCACTTCCCTCCCCCTAGGCTGGGGCAGTCAGAGCTCTAAGGTTCAGATCCACCATAACACCTGGCTCCACTTCCCTCCCCCTAGGCTGGGGCAGTCAGAGCTCTAAGGTTCAGATCCACCATAACACCTGGCTCCACTTCCCTCCCCCTAGGCTGGGGCATTCAGAGCTCTAAGGTTCAGATCCACCATAACACCTGGCTCCACTTCCCTCCCCCTAGGCTGGGGCAGTCAGAGCTCTAAGGTTCAGATCCACCATAACACCTGGCTCCACTTCCCTCCCCCTAGGCTGGGGCAGTCAGAGCTCTAAGGTTCAGATCCACCATAACACCTGGCTCCACTTCCCTCCCTCTAGGCTGGGGCAGTCAGAGCTCTAAGGTTCAGATCCACCATAACACCTGGCTCCACTTCCCTCCCCCTAGGCTGGGGCAGTCAGAGCTCTAAGGTTCAGATCCACCATAACACCTGGCTCCACTTCCCTCCCCCTAGGCTGGGGCAGTCAGAGCTCTAAGGTTCAGATCCACCATAACACCTGGCTCCACTTCCCTCCCCCTAGGCTGGGGCAGTCAGAGCTCTAAGGTTCAGATCCACCATAACACCTGGCTCCACTTCCCTCCCCCTAGGCTGGGGCAGTCAGAGCTCTAAGGTTCAGATCCACCATAACACCTGGCTCCACTTCCCTCCCTCTAGGCTGGGGCAGTCAGAGCTCTAAGGTTCAGATCCACCATAACACCTGGCTCCACTTCCCTCCCCCTAGGCTGGGGCATTCAGAGCTCTAAGGTTCAGATCCACCATAACACCTGGCTCCACTTCCCTCCCCCTAGGCTGGGGCAGTCAGAGCTCTAAGGTTCAGATCCACCATAACACCTGGCTCCACTTCCCTCCCCCCAGGCTGGGGCAGTCAGAGCTCTAAGGTTCAGATCCACCATAACACCTGGCTCCACTTCCCTCTCCCTAGGCTGGGGCAGTCAGAGCTCTAAGGTTCAGATCCACCATAACACCTGGCTCCACTTCCCTGGACACAACCTGCGCTGGATCCTCACATTCACTCTGCTGTTTGTCCACGTCTGTGAGATCGCTGAGGGGATCGTCTCCAACAAGTAAGAACCCCCTAAAACTACTTCCTGTTACCAAAGAAGTAGTCTACTGTGAAAAACGAAACATTAGTAGCTGGCCAGAAGCCAGTGTTCACATGAGATTTGGTTCTGGGTTGCTGAGATTATAAAAGAAGCGCTATTCCTCTCTGTCATTGTTGTACCCTAAAATGAACGGCTCCCAAGTTTCTGGTGCAGTGAACTATTGAATTTCCTTGCTTCCCTCGAGACCAATGTTTATAGAAAAATGAAACCAATGTCCCTCAAAATAACCCCACTCTCCAGTTTACCCAGACTGCAACCAATAAGATCCTCCAAAATACTGCAGTAACACAAGCTATGATCAGAGCCATCGTCTGATGCATCACAAACCCTGCATCACTCCACGTTAAAACCTGTTGATTGCACAGCGTGCTTCTTTAGTGGCTGAAGCTAGCAGCTCCCTTCGGTGAACAGTTTCAGTGGGGTCGCCCAAAAATCTAGATGTATTTTATTTTTATATATATATTTGTTTTGGGTACAGATTATTGAGTACAGATTATTGTATGGTACAATATACAAATGTTTTTGAGAAAGATCATTTGAAAAATAACATTCTATTGAGTAAATGTATTTATTGGTTTCTTTTCATTTGATAAGATGATTATTTGTTGATGTAAAAATAGAAATGTATCGCTTTTAAGGTTGTGGTGGATTTGTGGTGGGGTTGAGATAAATTATTGTGAAAAAGAAATGGGGTCCCCAGAAATTCTGCCGAAAAAGATGGGGTCCCCGCTGAACATGTTTGAATACCACTGGGTTAACTGGATGAGACTGAATACAGTTTATGTCAACGCATAAACCAGAGATACGTTATGCATATCAAACTGTCTTTGTTTCTTTGAATATTGATGGAATCTCCTGTCCCTCTGTCCTTTCAGACAGATGGACACCAATCACCTCCACCTCTTTATGCCAGCGTTTATGGGCTTCATAGCAGCCACTACATCTGTGGTGTACTACCACAACATAGAAACCTCTAACTTCCCCAAACTACTGCTGGGTGAGTCAAAATGATACCGTCAGTGCATTCATTACTCCAAATGAACAATTAGTGTTTAAGCAGTACTGAATTAGCCCCACTTTGCTGCAGTAGTTTAGAGACTATGGCAGATGGCCCAAACACAGTTAGCTACACATGAATCATTCTGCTGTACATAATCAAGTTTACTTGTAATAAATATCTGGGTAAAGTAGTGCACTACTAAACCACTAACTGACCAACCTCCTCTTTCCTCAGCTCTGTTTGTCTACTGGGTTCTGGCGTTCATCACCAAGTCCATCAAGCTGTGGAAGTTTGCAGAGCACGATGTTGGAGTGCAGCACCTGAGGTTTTGTATCACAGCCCTGCTGGTCGTTCTGTACGGACTCCTCATGGCTGTAGAGATCAACGTCATCAGGGTCAGGGTGAGTTAGAACACTGGTGGTCTGACTGCTTCCTGGGTCAGGGGTCATAGAGGTTCTATATAAAGAGAGGAAGGAAGAGGAGGATGTGATGTGGTGTACTGATGTGATCTGATAGCAGATGCAGGGTCTTTATTTCAACTCCTGTTGGCTTTTTACTTTTTTACCTTTTGCATGTGTGTCTTTCTCTGTCTTTGTGTATGTGTGTCCATCTCTGTCTGTGTGTCCTTGTGTTCGTGCAGAGGTACGTGTTCTTCGCCAACCCCCAGAAGGTAAAGCCTCCAGAGGACCTTCAGGATCTGGGTGTGAGGTTCCTCCAGCCCTTCGTCAACCTCCTCTCCAAGGCCACATACTGGTGGATGAACCCCCTGATTATAGGTTCGTTTCCTAGGTTCCTTCCTTCCAGGAGTTTTTCCTGGCCACTGTGCTTCCGCTTCTGCAATGATTGCTCTTTGGGGTTCAGGCCAGGTATCTGTAAAGTACTTTGTGACAACTGCTGATGTAAAAAGGACTTTGATTGATGTACAGTTATTTTGATGGATTGATGGCTTGATCACAGGAGCCCATAAAAGGCCCATTGAGCTGAAGAAGATAGGCAAGCTGCCCATCGCCATGAGAGCCCTCACCAACTACCTGAAGCTCAAAGATGCCTATGATGATCAGAGGGTGAGTGGAGGAAGGATGATGATTAGAGGGTGAGGGGAGGAGGGATGATGATCAGAGGGTGAGTGGAGGAGGGATGATTATCAGAGGGTGAGGGGAGGAGGGATGATGATCAGAGGGTGAGGGGAGGAGGGATGATGATCAGAGGGTGAGGGGAGGAGGGATGATGATCAGAGGGTGAGGGGAGGAGGGATGATGATCAGAGGGTGAGTGGAGGAGGGATGATGATCAGAGGGTGAGGGGAGGAGGGAGTGACAGAGTTTAATACCCTACTTCTGACAGTGACATAACATTGAATGGCTCCCCAGTAATGCTGAGTGAATAACCAACATTTCGGTTATGTTCGGTTTTAAACAACTAATTGAGCGACATCGGTTCAATTATTTGAATTCCATTTGGTTCGTTATTTTTCTGTGAGCTCGATGTGCAGTTTCTGTAGAGATAAATCAGATCAAGCCTGAACTGTGAGATGTAGTAGGGAGTTGTAGTTTCCACGAGGCCATTATTCTACATAGTTTAGCGCAGAAAACATTGTAATTAACTACAATGACCATAATCCATTGCGCGCCCGCTTAACCTTGTCCGGTCTGTGCGGCACAGACATGGAGACTAAGAGAAGAGAAAACGCGATCAAGATGGATAGAAAGCAGTTAGCCTAGCTGATCTAGGTGACTGATAGTTGGTATTCAGCAGTCATAAAAGTATGCTTTATTTACTTTGAAGAACTACAAAATAGTGATTTTGTCAGACAGCATAGGCAGCAGCTCTATAGAGATGATATGATGACTTGGAATGAAATAATAATTTCATCAAATAAAACAAATATTTTATTAAAGTAAAGTAAAGTGAATAAATGATGGTTAATAAGTGATAAGCAGTAATGGACAGTCACTACCATCATGGGACTTTTATTAATTGTTTTATTCTGTGTTGTTACAGCATTCAACCCACATAATGCATAGTGCATTTCATTTCGAAAAAATTATTGCAACCGGTTCGATTATTTTGTAATAATCGAACCGAAACCTCAAAAAGCACTAATCACTCTGCACTAATCCCCAGTGCAGTGGCAAACCATTCAATGCATCACCCGTGCAGTGACATACCTTTCGATGGATCCCTGCTTTGATTTAATTACAACATTCTGATCAGATTCCCTACTGCTAAAACTTTGTGTGTTAGATCTTAGATATATTACACTTATCCTATACACATGTGCAAGCCCAGTATAGGTTTGAATACATTTCCAAAGACTGTCCATTATAGAATAGTCTCGCGAACCAGACTCTGTAATCAGGTAGTCTCATCTTCACTCTGAGGTTAAGGTTCATTGTAGTGGAACCCTCCTGTGTAGTTGTAACCCTTCCATCCCCCATCCCTGTCCCCTGTCCCCTTCCAGCAGAATACCGAGGACCATGAGAAATCTCAGTCCATCTGGCGCTCTATGTACCGGGCGTTTGGCAGACCCATCCTCCTCAGCAGTACCTTCCGTTACCTGGCTGATCTGCTGGGCTTCGCCGGGCCGCTCTGCATCTCTGGCATCGTCAAACACCTCAACACCGAGCCCGTCAAGGGAGGGAGTGTGGTATGTATGTGGCTGAAGTTGACAGGACTGCATAATAACATAACTGCCTCATCAAAGTTGGACACCGTGTTTATTGCGCCACCATAATTACTGTTCCCATCGGCCCATAACTCTGCTCCTGGTACCATAATTACTGTTCCCATCGGCCCATAACTCTGCTCCTGGTACCATAATTACTGTTCCCATCAGCCCATAACTCTGCTCCTGGTACCATAATTACTGTTCCCATCGGCCCATAACTCTGCTCCTGGTACCATAATTACTGTTCCCATCGGCCCATAACTCTGCTCCTGGTACCATAATTACTGTTCCCATCGGCCCATAACTCTGCTCCTGGTACCATAATTACTGTTCCCATCGGCCCATAACTCTGCTCCTGGTACCATAATTACTGTTCCCATCGGCCCATAACTCTGCTCCTGGTTTTATATATACTGTATGTTCATCCCTCCTATAATCCTATATCACGTCCATTACGGCTCATTCAAGTGATTCAATTTGATACAGCAGATGTCTTGCTGGCTAGTTAGCTCCATAGAGATAAATAGTTTATTACATAGATAGCTCACTGTCTGACGCTGTGGGTTGTGTCATCGACATC